AGAGGACTAATGAGTTTGGCATGTTTTTCTCCAGCCTGTCCTAATATTTGCTCATTTTCTTTGTCTGTGTGATTTCAGTTGCAGCTAATTTGCAGAAAATTGTGGAAGAGCCCCAGGCAAATAGATCCATCACTTTCAGACTGGTATTTATTCCTGTTCCCTAATTGATCAAGTTGTCCCTTGCAAAGGAGAAGGCATTGCATATAGATGTCTACTGCAGGCATCTGATGTATGCACTCTAAATCCTCCCTTCTTTCCCAAAGCTCCTTGCTGGTTGTATAACTGTAGGCACTGCAGGCTCCCTGTTTGTATCCTCTGAGCAGCACCTGGGATAAATAAGTATGAGATTATATGTATAATTAATACATATAAATGTTGCAAAGGGACATTTTTGGGGCTTGGGATGTGCACTTGCAGAAATATTTCAAGGCAGCTAGATGGGCTAAGAATTGCCACATATTCCTTTCTTGGAGGAAGAGAATGAGGGAGGGTCCAGATACATTGTCTCTGAGGAGGAAATGGGGAAATGAAGAAGAAAAAAGGAAAATAAGAGTGGTGGGCCACACAAGAGAGCCAAAACTCAGAGCAGAGCACATGACTATTTTAGAGGAGGTGAAATTCAGGGGGAGTCACAGTGGCAGAGCAAAGGCATAACCAGGTGATTGGGAGTGAGGCAGTTAAGTGCTCTTATTTATTACTCTTCCTGTAAGGAGTTCTCACTTGTTTTGCCTCAGTTATTGCACATATAATGTCTAGTTGGAGGAGACTGCAAAACTTCAGTCCCAGCCCTTCATGGCTTTACACAAAAAAAAAGCAACAATACAAAACCACTCAATTTTAGCTTTGGATAGTGTGAGCTGCTGAATACAACGCAAAACTATGCTGTGTCTGCTTCCTCTCCCCACCCTGATATACCTGCTTGTATTTGCTGCTGGAAGGTGGAACATGTGTGTTGCTATTTGGATCTGTTTCCTGTTTCAGGCATCTGGTGTCGACGGCTCAGAAATTCCGGATGATGGCAAACTTATAGGATTTGCACAGCTCAGCATCAGCTAAACCATTGGTCCCAGGAGATGTTTCCCAACAGAGAACCCACATGTGCATATTCGTAATGCTTCTGTTAGCCTAAAAGAAAAACCACTACTGCCAAAGAATTGAACTACAGCCCCCTTCCTAGAAGCTTTAACATTTTCCTTAATAGGATCACAAACCTTCCTGAAATTACCGATGACGTTTACACCTTTTGTAAACAACTCTCATGTTTTTGTATCTGTCATCTCAAACATGCAGACCCAACACGTCATTGCCTGCATGTTCATTTTATTATTGCCTTACTTTAAAGAAAAATACTACTGAGTACGAAGCAGGGGGTTCCACTGCTCTGATGATCTTGCCTAAGTGTTTGCTTACATGTGGTTTCATTTTTTTTTCACTTGCTATTTTTGCACAAGTTTTAATACTGAACAGGTTTTTTTTGGTTCTTTACCTGCTTCTCCTTCTATCTGAAACACCAATGTACATGTTGTTTGGGTCACCTGGAGTGCTGAGAAATCTGCTTCTCTTTGGCTGTGTGTTTTAAAACTGCTGGTTTGAATGCTTGCACCTGAGAAAGCAAGTGGAGTCTTAACCCACAGGAGGGGGAGCTGCCTTCCCTTGTGTTTGTGTTTTTGAGAAGTTCCTTGACTTTGAGGTGTTAGAAGTCAGCTTCCCTATGTAAACTGCCTTAATTTTATTTTTTTCTTTATCATTTTGGTTCTCTCCACATGAGTGCCAGGCATGGCATGAGGGCTGAACCTTTTAATTTACATTCAGCAGTCCTTCTTGCTGCTTTCATTCTGCATCTTAGGCGTAGTCTGTTCTTGAAGCAGACCAGGGAGGCATGGCTGCCTGGAAACTGGTCTTTCAGATGATGAACACAATATCCATGGTCACAGGGAGAGGAGATGTGTGTCACTCTGCCTTTGGAACAGATGCACTTCCAAGTGTCCCTGAAACCCAGTTTGGTCATGCCTGGCTGGCCTCCCAGCGTGTTCCCCAGTCCTTTGCAAGCTGGTACCCGTGGAACCATCCCTGTTGTGTTTTACAGCAATAAAGAATCACCAGTAGAGTGGCTGTGCTGGGCAAAAGCGGGCACTGGGTTTGTCCCTCCTGCACTAAATCCCTTGGGTCGTCGGGCTGTGTGTCAGCCCAAGCCTCGGCGTTTGATCAGGATGTCACTGCACCCCTGTCACACACGTATTTAGCTTTTCTTTCCATGTGCTGTTGAAGTTGAGTTTCTACATGAATAATATAAATTATGCTCTGAGTTTGATAAGAGACACTTGTAATGCAATATGTGAATAATAAATGGTGTTGACTTTTTTTTTCCTACTGTTTCACAGTTGGCCTTTGTAACTGCTCTTGGCTCTGGAGTGTTTTCTACACAGAAATTGCAAGTCTGTAATTTAACACGCAGATGGAAACGAGCTTTGTTTCCATCAGACACAAAATGCAGAAACAGAGTGGAATGACTATGTTCAATTAGGACTTTTGTTCTGTTTGGTTTTTTGTTTGTTTTTTTTTTTTATTTCCAAGTCTTCAGATGAACAATCTGTATTTATATCTTGTTCTGTATGAGCAGCTGTGGAAGCTTCCTGAATTGTGCATGTTCTTTTTTAACCACCCCTGTTGCTTGTAGCCTCTGGGTGGATATTGGGTGTGTCCCCATGGGCTGTGTGCAGCCCCATGGCTGATGGGTGTGAAGGGGAGAGGGAGAGGAAGATGAGAATTTGGGAGTGAGATCATCCCAGGGTGCTGAGCCGATGCTCTCTAGAGCCCAGGAAGCGAGTGCCTGATAGCAGGGAGTTGGTGGTGGCTGGCTTGGCCAAGTGTGTGTTGGCACCATTCCCTGTTGCCTGACACAAAGCACTCCCTTCAGTGTCCCCCATTGAGTTTGTTGGCTTGGGAAGAGCAGGCTGGCACCTTGATTTTCCTGTCTCCCTGTGCTCAGTGTGGATGTGTTGGGAGCCTTTAGGATACAGAGACAAGGTAGTTGTGGTACAGTATTATTTTCCCTCTGCCTGCGTGCCCTGGGGACCTCCTCGTTCATTTGTGTACTGGTGCTGAGGAAGGTTAGGACTCAAACTGCTCAAATGGAACAATGCAGCATCTATTTATTGTTATTCCCCATTTTCCCAAAGCCAGGACTTAGAGAGCTTGAGCTCACGCTAACCCAAGGTTCCGTAGTTCTTTAATGGAGAAAATAAGTGAGGAAGAAGCTGATGGGTTCTGCTCTATAGATCTCCAGATCTTTTGGGTAAGGATCCAAAATATTTACTTGGGCTATTACAGTGCTAGACAACTGTCTTTTCTGATGTTGTTCCAGTAAGTGCCAATGCTGTTCATAATTGTTTTCCAGTGTCATTAAAAATTTGGGTTTTGTGCAAATTTCTGATCTGAACCTGGAAGCAGGTGGTAATTTTAAGTTAGTTCCTACTTTTAAGGACAATGCTCTGTTAATGAAAACGGATCCTCTTCACAACTTTGGTGTATTGTAGATTATAATGAAAGATGTAAAATAGTCAGGCTTTTTTTCCTTTTTTGGACTTTGTATTTTACTGCATGTGTCTAATTTTTAATCAATAAAGAACAAATTGTCCATTGCCTGTTGTTTCTGTGGTTTGCTTGTCACTGGGTTGGATGGTGTGTCTTGAGGAAGGGGTTTGTTGGAGTGGTGTCTGTTGCCCCTGGGGCGTTTCTGTTTGGGGTGGTGGGAGGTTTGAGTGCCCCAGGAAGACTCAGTGGGGAAAGGGACATCAAGTCGAGGCTGGATGGGGCTCTGAGTAACATGATCTGGTGGGAGGTGTCCCTGCCCATAGCAAGGGGTTGGAACTGGATGAGCTTTAAGGTGCCTTCCAACCTAAACCCTTCCATGAGTGCATCTCTGCAGGTGCTGAGTGCAGAAATGGAGCCAGGAGGGCACTTGGGATGCTGCCCTGAGAGCTTGTCTCTAGCTGAGAGGTTTACTGCCAGCTCTGCATGCCCTGTGCAGCTGGGAATGAGTTTCCTCTCTCCTTGCAATGCCTCAGGATGACACAGACTGGTGTGAAAGTGGGAGGATTTATACCCTGACAAGTGGTGAGAACATGAACTGCCACCCCTCCTCTCCTCCATCATAATGTCCTTTGTGGGTGCCCTGGTCAGCCCCAGTGGGACATCCATGGTCTGTTTTCCAGCATGATTTACAATGCCCTTCTCGTGGATCTGTGGGTAACAGGAATATCCAAGTGGCTTTCAGGCACCTCATGGACATCTCAAAGGGGCCCCAGGCAAATGCTTTTCCTACATGAGGGATGGCCTGAGCAGTGCTTGACTCATGTTCTCAGTGATCATTTTAGGCATTGGGACCTCAAGCACCATTGTCCTGTGTCAAATTTCTCCCATCCCTTTACCCCTTCCACAAGTCCTTGCATTTAGCCCCCAGCAGCCTGCAGGTTGGCCCAGAATTGGTGGGAAGAGGGGACATCCTGTGCCTGACTCGCTTGTGTTGCACAGGGAACCTGTAAAAGATGAAGGAAATGGCAGCTCCCATCCTCTGGAATCACAATAAACTGTCTGCCCTTCCTCATGTCTGGTTCTGCCCATCCATTAACATAATTCCCTTTATTCCTCTGGGTTATTTCCAGCTCTGCATGGCAGTGAGCTCATTTTGGCCCCTCTGAACCTTGCTTTCCTGAGTGCTTCAGCAAAAGCTGCCATTGTAGTCACTGTGGAGAAGAGTCTGTGCCCTGTCAATGCCACCTGGCCCTGGCAGAGGAGGTGCCCAGGTTCCCTGAAATAGAGGTCCTTCTGCTCCAGCCGACACTGGATGTTCATGGGGGTGGCACAGGGATGATTAATATATTACATGGTGTGCTTCTAGTGACTGCCTGTGACTGCAGAGCTTATCTGAGGTTTAAACATTAATTCTGACCCTCTGGGAAGTCTGTCCCGGCACTGTCTTGTCCCAGACACAGTCACCAATGTCAGGCATTGGGGAAATTTTGAAAGCAGCTGGTGATTTTGGGCGATTCCAGAAATGGCTGGTGCTGCTCTCTGTGATCCCCTGCTTCAGTGTGTCTTTCCACCAGTTTTGCCAGCTTTTCATGGTCCCATTTGTGCCTTACCACTGTGACACCAGCTGGATCCGTGCTGTCGGCCCCAACCTGACTGAGGAAGAGCAGCTGAACCTCACCCTGCCCCGGGGCACGGACGGGCAGTTCGAGCAGTGCTCCATGTACTCCCCGGTGGACTGGGACCTCGACTCCATCCTGGCCTATGGGCTGAATGACACACAGAAGTGCAGCAATGGCTGGGTGTACCCCTCAGGACAGCCACCATCCCTGCTGACCGAGGTCTGTATTTGCTGTTTGATGTGCTGGGATGTGGAAAGGACAGGATACCCAAATGGCCACAGTTCTCCCAGAGCTGGTGCCTGACCATGGTGCAGTTGGGATTTACTGCGGGTATGAGTTGTCTCCCCAGCACGCAGGCCCCAGGTGTGGTTCTGGAGAGGGTGCAGGCCATGATAGAGGTGCCAGTGGGGAGATGAATCACTCCTGAAGGGACCTCCTGGTCCTGGTTTTCCTCATCCCTTTGCATGCAGGGGTTAAACTTTCCAACTTAATATCATGGAGTGTTTTGGCTCAGAAGGCTGCTTTAAAAGTTTTGTAGTCCAACCTCCAACATCACAATTGTTAGCTGAGAAAGATGCTAAATTAAGGTAAAGGAGAGTAGGTTTAGATTAAATATTAGGAGGAAATTCTTCTCTGTGAAGGTAGTGAAGCCCTGGCACAGGTTGCCCAGAGAAGCTATGGCTGGCCCATCCCTAGAAGTGTTCAAGGCCAGTTTGGATGGGGCTCTAATCTACCTGGTCTAGTGTAAGGTGCCCTGCCCATGGCAAGAATATTCAAATTAGATGATCTTTAATGTCCCTTCCAACCCAAACCCTTTAACCGTTCTATGATCCTTCCTGTGTCACCCTTTCCATTGATGTCTTCTGGATGCTGGTAATCGCAGGACATCTCATTAACAGAAACTGCTTGTCCCAGAGATCAGCATTGCATCCTTTCTCCTCTGGGAGGTCAGGTGGTTTGGCAGGAAGCAAGCAAACTGCTTCTGTCCCCAGGCACACCTAAAACAAAATTTTCTGACCAGGAGGCTCCCCTAAGTTGGCTGGGCTGGACAAGCCAGACTCCTGCAGGTCCCAGTGCTTGGGAGAGGGATCCCACCGAGTGCCCAGAGGACTTGTCCCACCTCTGACTTGTGTGCCCTGTGCATACTGTGGGCATTCACATCCTTGGAAGAGGGGATACCAAAGCATCTGTTTCTCCTTTCTCCAGTTTGACTTGGTGTGTGACAGGAAGGACCTGAATGACATTGCCCAGGCCATCTACATGGCAGGGCTGCTCCTGGGATCCATGATCTTTGGGCCAATGAGTGACAGGTGAGGAGGCATAACCCCCTGCCCAGGGTTTGTGCAAAGCTAGCACAGCACAGAGCAGGTGGTGTGAGCCTGTCTGGACCATTCACCCTGTGCATTTTGTCACCACTTCTCACTGGCAGGGACCCTGACCAAAGTCCTTGGGTCCTACGAGGACACGGCCACACAGGGAGGGGAAGGGAGAGAGACACAGCACGTGTGTACAGTGCTTCACTTGTCACCCCCCAGTCAACTCTGAGCCTTATCAGAGTGATAAAAATCACTATAGAACCTGCTGGGCTCGTTGCCATCTCCGTGGAGACTCTCCAGACACCGACTGTGTGTTCCCTGTTTCTCCCCAGGATTGGCCGCCGCCCAGTCATTCTGATCTCCGTCTTCCTCCAGGGCTTGTTTGGTCTGGGAATTGCCTTTGTGCCCCATTTCTATGTGTACATGGCCTTCAGGTGTGTCGTGGGGGCTTCCGTGTCAGGGATCACTATGACAATTCTGGCCTTAGGTGAGTAGGATGCCCTTGCCCTAGGCCATCTCAAGATGGAATAAAAAAGTCTTCCAAGAAATAAAAATATTCATATGTGACTAGAAAAACATCGTGGCGAGGACAGGTCTTGATCTTCACTGTCCTTTGGTACTTTGGCAACTTCTCAGCCCTCAGTCAGAGCTTTGGGGAGCATCTCTCCCCAGCGAGTGCTCAGAGGGCAAGGGGACAGTGTCTCAGCACAGGAGGTCAGTCTAATCCTCACCTCCAGAATAATTCTTCTCCAGGGAAACACCCTGTTTGCCTCGGGGGAAATCATTTGGATTACTCTGAGCCTTCCTTCTTCCCTTCAGCTACAGAATGGATCGGTGTCTCCTCCCGGCCAAAGGCAGTGCTCACTTCTCACTGCTATTTCGCCATCGGGCAGATGATTTTAGCTGGCTTGAGTTATGGGATTCGCAACTGGAGGCTGCTGGAAATTGCAGGATCTGTTCCTATATTTGCTTTTTTCTTCTTCATCAGGTAAGTAGGATGGGGACAGAGCTCCTGCAGACATAACAGCAGTGTGACAGTGTGAGTGAGGAGGTGGCAGCAGCTCAGAACCAAGCTGGGTCTTTCCCATTGGAGTGCAGGTGCTGCAGGAGCTGCACAGCTCAGCACATCTCCCTGGGGCACTGGACTGCTGAGAGCAGAAGCTGCTTTCCTTCAGGTCTCCAAATGTGGCCGTTGGAGCCTAAATTGAGGGTATTTAGACCCATTGATCCCATGGGCCATTCACTTTAGAGTTGGACTTGATGATCCCAGGGGGTCCCTTCCAAAGCAGAACATTCTGTGGTTCTGTGATCTGGTTCTGTGGTGGCCCAGGCTTGGTGGACGTGGTCCCAGAGGAAGGGGCTGTGGGGGAACTCAGCAGGACACAGCAGCATGTCCTGGCCTCCCGTCCTGGCAGGGTGCTCCCAGAGTCAGCTCGCTGGCTGGTGACCAAAGGCAGAATCGAGGAAGCCAAGAAGCTCCTGCAGAAGGCGGCAGCCACCAACAAGCGCAGCCTCCCACCAGAGCTCCTGGAGCAGGTACTGGGGGTTCTGCTCCTCACACACTGCCCTGGGCCTTGCAGCAGCCCCTGGAGCTCAGCTGCTCCCAGAAACATCTCTCCATTCCCACCGGGGATGGGCTGGCCATGGCTCTGGGGCTCCAGCTCCAGCTGAGTTGCACAGGGACAAGGTCAGCCTGCAGCTGGCTGGGATGCCCCTGGGGATGTGGGAAGGACTGAAACGCTTCCCTGGCTTTTCTCCTGTCAGGATTCCAGGAGTGTGACTGATGAGCAAGAGTCTCTCTTTAGTCTGTGGGTTTCCATGCAGAAATGCCTGAAGGGGAGTTCCCTCCTTGCCCACCCCAAAGTTCCTACCCTGGGGAAATAAATGTTCATCCTGAGGAACCTCTCAGTCACCAGCCCCTGTGCTGGGCACCCAGAGCACAGAGGCAGGAGCCCAGCCCCACTGGGCTGCCCTCCCTCCCAGAGCACTGAGGGTCACAGGCCTGTCCCACTGAGGCTTTCCATGGAGTGCAGGTGGAAAAGGAGCTGGCCATGGTTTTCCTTTCCCTGCTCTGACTCTGACTTCCTGTGTTTTGAAGTTGAAGCCTGAGAAAGAAGCCAAGTCTGGAAGTTTCCTGGATCTCTTTCGGAAGAAGCACCTCCAGAAGGTGACTTTAATCATGTCATGTGTCTGGTAAGACATTCCCTGGTGCACATTTCTAGGTGAAATAAATGAAGGGATTGAGAATTAGTCATTAAGAATTTCACCGTGGGTTTTGACTGTTATTTGATAGGTGTTTCTACTTCTGGCTGTTTAAGATGCTTTATGGGAAAGCATTTCTAGCTTTAGCAGGGTTTGGTATTCCTCTGGTTTTACATGTCTTTGGAAATGCTGTGGCTTGGTCAAAATGTCATTGGAGATCAATTCCTCATCGTTAACACCTGCTCAGTGCCACCCTGCCTGGCTTTCAGGTTTGTGAACAGCATTGTCTACTACGGGCTGAGTCTGAACGTGACAAATTTTGGCCTGGACATCTACCTGACTCAGCTGGCCTTTGGAGCAGTGGAAATCCCAGCCCGAGTTGGTTGTATCTTCATCCTGCAGAGGTTTGGGAGGAGGAAAACGCAGGCTGTTCTCCTGGTGCTGAGTGGCCTGGTGTGTCTGGTCATCACTGGCATCCCTGAAGGTGAACAACATCATCCCAAACAGAGAGGACATCCTCTGGGACAGGGAGGCACAGATCCCCAACCCTTCCCTTGCTGGGTCTGTCCTCCCAGCCAGGGTGGCTCACATCTCTCTAGGGATGACCTGAGCTGACCCTGGCCTGGCTGAACCCACAGGGCCCACTCCAAAAAACCCAACCCTTTTATTGCTGATGGTGATAGCTGAGCTGAGCCCAGTGGTGCCCCTGTCAACAGAGCTGTGCTCTGGGAAAATGAATACCTGGGGAGGAGAGATGATGGATGCAGAGTGCACTGCAGGTGGCCACCAGGCCATGCTCAGACACTGTCAGAGGCCATGGCTCCCTGCAGGTGACACAGCTGTCCCTGCAATCCCCAGTGGACATCTATGAGTGGTGCTGAGCCCTCCCCATCCCATAGCAGCCTTGTCTCCTACTCCCCTCAGACCAGCCCGTGACAACCACCGTCCTGGCCACCATTGGCAAGTTTGCTGCCTCAGCCTCCTTCTCCACCTCCTACGTCTACGCTGCCGAGCTCTTCCCCACGGTTGTCAGGTGAGCTCTCCCCACACACGGGAGCTTCCCTGTGCCGTGGCTGGCAGTGGTGATGGGCCAGGAGCCCTCCTGTCCCCATGGCCGTGCTCAGCCCCGCGGTGGCCTGCGGGTGCTGATCCCTGCCCCTCTGTCCCCCAGGCAGACGGGCGTGGGGCTGTGCTCCATGTCGGCGCGGGTGGCCGGGATCCTGGCCCCGCTGATCCGTCTCCTGGCCCAGTACCACGGGGCCATCCCCATGGCCATCTTCGGGAGTGCCCCCGTGCTGGGGGGGCTGCTCTGTGTCCTGCTGCCCGAGACCCGTGGCACCGAGCTGGCAGATGACACAGGGGACGGCCACCCCCCTCAGGTGGGTCCCCGGGGTGCCTCTGGGGTGGGGATGTGGGGAGCCAGCACTGGGGGAACCCCTTGGCCTTGCATGTGCTGGGGGCTTCTTTAGGACTTACAGAGATGCATGATGTGCCCTGAGGCTGTCCCACTGCGGAGGGAGGGGAGGACACCCCATAATCCTGCTTGTGGAGGTCATTCCTTCATTCCTGTCCATGGGATATAACGTCCATTTGCTTTCCTCCCTCTGCCCTCCTCAGGGAAGCACCGGTGCCTTGTAGCCACATCCTCCGACTTTCACCAGCCCTCCTTCCCCATGGGACCTGGTGGAATTGCACCCAATAATTTTGTTGTCTTGCTGAGAGAAAGATGTCCATGGGAACAGAAGGAAATGGGTTACAGGTTGCTGAAGGCTGCCTGTCTCAGGGACGGCTGCCATCAGCTCATGGCACACTTTCCTTGCTTTTACACCCTTTTCTCTTTCATCAGGTCTGCAAAAATGCCACCAGCGGCTCCCAGAATGGGCAGGTGAAAGGAAAAGGTGGTGACCAAGACAACGAGAGCACAAAGACCACGTACTTCTAGCTGGGTCTGCAGGTGGCTGTGGGTGAAGGCAGCCCAGTGCTGTGTGGGCACTGAGGACAGGCAGGGTCTCTCCACCACAGGACACCACCATTGCTTAGGCCCTCACTGCCAATTCTTGGGTTTCCTTGTCTTTTTTGCCTTCCTGTATCTCTCTCTGTAGCTGGTCCTCAGGCACTATAGGCTGTCACTGGTGTCCAAAAGAGAAAATTCTGGCTCTCACCAGAGAAAACTGGGTGCTTTTTACTTGAGGGAAAAAAGAAAGAAATCAAGAATTAGAATGGAGGCACTTTCTCTTCGTTTTTCCTGTTATGTCTTCAGGAAGGTGACACTGTAAACTTTGTCCAGTGAGACACCCACTAGAGCATTGAATAAACTTGCAAGAGAGAACTGGGCTCACTAACAGGAGATCTGGAGCAGATGCAGCACTGAAAATAATCTCACACTTGCAAGGAGTGATTTATCGTGACTGTCTAGCAAGATCATCCCGTTCTCTCATAAAAACACTCCTTTTTTTTTTTTTTTTTTTAATTTGAGATACTCGGCTGAGAAAAAAAATGATGTGATGGAAGAAACAGCATGCAGGGAGCAAACATGTCTAACAGGCAGCAGAATTTTCACTTTAGTGCTGATGGCTTTGAATTGATGCCTGTCATGATGCTTTGGGCATGGAAAATGGTGCTGTTGGGTGCAGTGTGGGACCAATTTCGTTTCATTCCAGGAAACTGAGAGAGGTTGTGGCAGTTGATCTCTTAGAAAAAAGTGCAAATCTTTCTGGGAAATGTCAAGCCTTTTCTACTCTGTTCTAATCTATTCCTTTTTTGCTGCATCCATTTTGTCATTAAAAGATTTAGGACTGCTTTTGTCTTCTACTGTGAAAAAAAAGAAGTGTTTTTCCTGTGCTTCCCTTCATATTATCTCATGTCCCTCAGTCCAACTTTCTCTTCCCACTGGATGGGTACAGATGAAGCCTGGGAATTGCACATGGTGGTTCTTCATGTTGACTGTACAGCTCAAAGGGTGTTTTTTTTTCTGGTAGTGTAAAAAAATGTTAAACCAGCTTATTTCTTCTCTCCATTGTCATGCCTTCACGTTTTCCATGGACCAAAGTACTCCATGGATATTCTGTTTGATCAACACACTTTTGGATAAAACCAGTGCCATGTGACAATGTCCTGCCAGGGACTGGCTGTGGTGCCATTTTCTCTCTGGCACTGCTTTTCAGAGAATTTGCTGCGGTGCTCCTCTTCAGCACCCTGAGAACAGAGGAGCTCAGTCCTTTGTCCTTTCCTGGGAAAAGGCTGGGGAGCGCCTCCTTCAGGCTTTTATGGCAAACAAGGCATTGAGGGTAAAGGCTGAGGGAAGAGCTTGGAGCCAAATGTACAGTTATTGAAAGAACCACTTGGGAAGGAAATTGTACTCTGAGACTCTGTTTAGCTCATTTTGTAAATAAAGGTGTCTAACCACAGCTGCTGTACTTCTGCTTCCAGCTCATTTGTGCCTCCAGTGGGCTGAAGATCCATTTCATGGGATCTTGGAATGCTTTGGGTGGGAAGAGACCTCAAAGATAATCTCCTTCCAATACCCCCCTGCCACATACAGGGGCAATCTCCACTATCCCAGGTGGCTCCAAGCCCCATCCAACCTGGCCTTGGACACTTCCAGGGATCCAGGGGCAGCCACAGCTTCTCTGGGCACCCTGTGCCAGGGCATCACCACCCTAACAGGGAAGAATTTCTCCCTGACATCTAATCTATATCTCCCCTCTGTCAGTTTTAAGTCACTCCCTGTGTCCTGTCACTCCATGCTCTTGTTCCCAGTCCAGCTCTCCTGGAGCCCCTCTAGGCAATGGAAGGGACTCTGAGCTCTCCCTGGAGCCTTCTCTTCTTCAGGCAGAACAATCCAAACTCTCTCAGCCTTTCCTCATAGGAGAGGTTCTTCAATCCCTCTAATCATCTTTGTGGCCTCCTCTGGACCCCCTCCAACAGCTCTGTATTATATTTTATCTGCTTTTCTCTGGACCACTGAAGCTTGTCAGTTTGAATACCCCTCAACTGTACACTTGAAGTGCACCTGAATAACTTGACTCATGTTTTTCCCAGTTCAGCACAAGTGGGAGGATGTCCAATGTTTTTGCAGTGCCTTAATGTCACTCCCTGCCAGCCCACACATGGCCTTGCACTGTAATGAGTAGAGGTGACAGCACAAAGTGGAGCCAGGAGTGCTGGAACAGCATGTGGGAATGCAAACATAAACCTGTGGGAATGCAAATACACTTTTGCATGCCCACAGAGGGGTGTTCTGGACTCTCATGACTGTGAGGCCATTGGCAAAGGGTAAAATGTGACCTAAGGAATAACTAAGGCAAAGAGGACGATTCCATATTGAAGGGAAAGAGCCAAAAGGCTGGCGAGGTGATGAGGACAAAATGGGGAGAGAAGTTTAGCTGAGAAGAGCAGGTTGTCTCATTTTAGGGACAAATTTAGGAGAAAACCCTCTGGAATGAGTGTTTCCACTAAAGAAATAGGAAATCAGTAATCCCTTTGTCTGTCAATGAAGAAATGGACACCAGTGGGTGAAAGTGAAAAAACCCAACTGTTTGTTGACAAACTACCCACAGGGGAAAAAAAAAAAAAAAAAGCTAAATATTGAACTGTCAGAACCTTGCCCCCAACACACACACACACACATGCCCACCCACAGCAGAACAAAAACCCCCAAAATGCCAGGGAAAGAAACAAACAGAGCAGTTGTGTGTCAGAGGGAACAAAATGGCACTGGCTTTTTTGTCTCAGGGAAGGGAATAAAAGTTCACACAGCAGCTCGGGCAAAAGAGATGGGAACCTGTGGAACCTCTGGTGTTGGTGTCCTCCCCAGAGCAGATGAAGCTGGCTGGTTTTAGTGCCTTTTGTTGGTTCAGCTTTTCCCGAGGTCTCAGCTCAGGCAGAGCAGCTCCTGCACTCCTGCCTCATCAGCTCCTGGTGATTGTCTGATCTTGGACCAAAACTAAACCTAACAGTTCAAGAAAAAAACCCAAAATCTGCGAAGGATTGTGGCTGCAGTGTCTTCAGGCCATGAAAAGGGGAAAAATGAAACTTCTTCCTTAAACTAACAAAAATCCAAGCTTGCTAAGCAACTGTCTTGGGATGATTTTATGATGAAACTGTACTCCCTAATTGTCAGCTTTAAGCCCAGAAATGGCTGCTGTAGCTTTGAGATGGATCTGGGAGGAGGATTGGGAGCCTGGGACCCCCTTTGTACAAAAAAAGTCCTGACATGCTCCCACCCATGGTACGATTGGTGGACATTGGCAGTTACTTTGTTGCTTAATTTTATTTTTTTTTGTAGCTTAAGCAAGAAGTTTATTTTTTTCTTTCCCTACCTTTTCCCCTGGTCTCCAGCAGCGATGCTCTAGTTTTTCTCTTGAACTCTTTTGGCTTGTTTTTTTGGTCTGAAATCAGACAATTGCTGAGATGGACCAGGATGTGCAGGGGACCTGTGGGAGCCACTCCAAGCCTGAGATCTCGGAAAAAAAAGCTGAACCAGAAAGAGAAAGGACACCAAAATCCACCAGCTTCATCTGCTATGAGGAGGAGACCAATACTAGAGGTCCAGCAAGTTCCCATCTGTTTTGTCTGAGCTGCTACATGAACGTTCTCTTTTTTTTTTTTTCCCTTCCCTGAGACAAAGGGGCCACTGCCATTTTTGTCTTCCCAGCCCTGAGGCCAGCCAGACTGTTTATTTCTTCCCTGGGCATTTTGAGTTTTTTGGTGGGTAGAGGGTAAGGGTCTGAAAATAAATATTTAGCATTTATTCAATCTTTTCCTGTGCCTTGAAGGTACCTTGCTTTGCTAATAAATGAGTTTTTTTCACTTTCACACACTGGTATTCATTTCTCTCATTGGTAAAAGGCATCACTGAAGCTCTTCTCTTTGGAGGAAACATTAATTCCAGAGTTTTCTCCTAAATTTGTCTCTAAGCTGAGACAACAGTAAAGTAACACCCAGTCTGCACTGCACCCAGCACTCCCTGGAGTGAGTCTTTGAACAAAGCCCACACAGGAACCCCCAAAACTCACACCCATCTCCCAGACCAACCTTAAAGTACAGGAGCCATTTCTGGACATAAAGGAGATAGTCAGGAATAGAGGATCGTCATAAAATCACCCCAAGACACAGAAGAAGGGCTGAAACAGCTCCTGTTGTCACAGGAGCCCCACAGGGACCACTGAGATGATCAGCACATTTTCAATGTCAGTGGCACCAACAACCTGTGCTGAAATCCTGGCTGTGGGGCAGAGGTGTCAGGATCCTGAACCTTTCCCTTTACCTAGAGGTCATCACCCTCTCCTTTCACCTGACCCCATGCTGGGAAGCCCCAGGTCCATGAGAAAAACAAAGTTTGCAAAAAGGGACCCAGCAGGGAATGGCTGAGGAGGTGAGGAGAGGAGCATTAAAGCTGCTCTCCTGACTGTGCAAGAAGCCATAGAATCATTGGCTCATTTAGGGTGGAAAAGCTCCAGCCACCATCCAGCATTGCCACATCCACCACAAAACCACATCCCGAAATGGCACAGTGTCTTTTAGATACCCCCATGAATGGTGACTCCACCTGTGGCCTGGGCAGCCTGTTCCATTGTTGGACAACCCTTGTGGAGAAGGAATTTTCCCTATTATCCAATTTAAACCTCCTGTGGTGCAACTTGGGGCCATTTTCACTTGTCCTGTCATTTGTTACTTGGGAGAAGAGACCGACCCCCACCTGGCTGCACCCTCTGCCAGGGTGTTGTAGAGAGTGAGAGGGTCCCCTCTGAGATTCCTTCTCTCCAGACTGAGCTCCCCCAGCTCCCTCAGCTGCCCTTGGTGCTCCAGCTCCTTCTTCAGTTCCATTCCTTTCAGTGCCAAAGCCCAGATCTTGCAAACTTCCTATCCCACCTCCAGCCATGGCCACGTTCCACATAACTGGAGTGATTTTGTGCACCAAAGCCCAAAATGAATATCAGCTCCAGGCACATCTGGCCTGGATTTGGGACACCCCAGCCCTCAAGACACCATGTACTAGAGCACAAAGAGATTGGAAACCAAAGGATGCAGCAAATCTGAGTGAGCAGCCTTCTCCTTCCTTGAGAGTAGTTATGTGCTTGAGGATAGGGATCCACTGGAGGGCACAGAAATACATCCTCTGCTGGCAAACAACTTAGAGAGGACAGGAGCCCATCCTTCTCTTTCTTTTGCATGACACTAGATGACACTAAAATTTCATGACTGAGCTGGCAGCAGCCAGCTGAAGGTCACTGTAAAAGGCTCACCATGACTGAGGAAAGCTGTCCAAATGCCTACACAGTTTGGCATCGAATTGCAGAATTCCCATGCAATTTAGGAAGCTTCTACAGCTGCTAGTAGAGAAAATAAATGCAGATTGTTCTTTGGAGGACTTTGAAAAAAGAAAAAAATCCTTTTGAACTCAGCCACTCTGCTTTAACACTCTGTTTTTGCATTGTTTATGTCTGATGGAAACAAAGCTCGTTTCCATCTGCGTGTTAAATTACAGACTTGCAATTTCTGTGTAGAAAACACTCCAGAGCCAAGAGCAGTTACAAAGGCCAACTGTGAAACAGTAGGAAAAAAAAGTCAACACCATTTATTATTCACATATTGCATTACAAGTGTCTCTTATCAAACTCAGAGCATAATTTATATTATTCATGTAGAAACTCAACTTCAACAGCACATGGAAAGAAAAGCTAAATACGTGTGTGACAGGGGTGCAGTGACATCCTGATCAAACGCCGAGGCTTGGGCTGACACACAGCCCGACGACCCAAGGGATTTAGTGCAGGAGGGACAAACCCAGTGCCCGCTTTTGCCCAGCACAGCCACTCTACTGGTGATTCTTTATTGCTGTAAAACACAACAGGGATGGTTCCACGGGTACCAGCTTGCAAAGGACTGGGGAACACGCTGGGAGGCCAGCCAGGCATGACCAAACTGGGTTTCAGGGACACTTGGAAGTGCATCTGTTCCAAAGGCAGAGTGACACACATCTCCTCTCCCTGTGACCATGGATATTGTGTTCATCATCTGAAAGACCAGTTTCCAGGCAGCCATGCCTCCCTGGTCTGCTTCAAGAATTATGGAATCAGACTGGAGTGTTAGTAGATGTCTGTTCAATCATCGCTTGCTCTCTGAGCATCTGCAGACATCCTGACATCTTTCTCCAAGTCTCTGTCGTCCTCTCTGGTGTCTCAGCAACGCTCTTCAGCTTTCTGTTCCTGAAGATCAGAAGGAAATAAAAGATGAGACTGTATTTATCTGTGATTCTGACATTTTTTCTTTTGCCTTAAATTTGAAGTTTTGGATATTTTTTCCTCTTATATTCAGAGTTCCCTGTACCCACCTCAGGGATAATTTGGTTCTTCTCTGTGTTATCTGCCAGGTCAACGCCGCGTGTCTCGGGCAGCAGGATGCAGAACAGGGCCACCACCACAGGGATGCTCCCAAAGATGGCCATGGGGATGGCCCGGTGGTACTGGCCCAGGGGAATGATCAGCGGGGCCAGGATCCCGGCCACCCTCGCCATGGTCGAGCACAGCCCCACGCCCGTCTGCCTGGGGGAGAGAAGGGCAGGGCTCAGCACTCCTGGACTGAATGTGGCCCCATCACCACCTCCAGCCTCGGCTGAAGGAAGCCCTGATGTGTGGGGAGAGCTCACCTGATAACCGTGGGGAAGACCTCAGCGGCGTAGACGTAGGAGGTGGAGAAAGCAGCTGTGGATGTCATCTTGCCAATGACAGCCAGGACAGTGATTGCCAGGGCCTGCTCTGAGGGGAGGAGCAGAGACAACCACTGTAACCTCCGGGGGGATGGCTCACTTGGGACCAGAAGTCTCTGCAGTGGGATTTCTGGGGATGGCCCTTTCTAATTGACTTGCTAAGCAAACCTACCACCTAACCCATTGGGAAGGATGGCCAGCACTCCCTTACCTGGGAAATTCCCTCTGCAAAGAGAACCCAGATTTCTCCTGAGCCCTTGGGCATTTTCTAGATCTACAACTGAAGTGAGCTGCTGAGCCACCACAGGTGTTTGGGGAGTCCTTGGTTGGAAATGCCTCATCCCTGACCTTGAAAGCATTGGGAATCCCTGCTGTTCCCTTCAGTCCCACTCACAGCACTGACACAGCAGCACTGGTGGACTATGGACTGGGGCACAAACAGATGCAAACAGTGGGCATTTGCTTTTTTTCTTCATCTAAGAAAGGGAAACATGGTGGCTTTTAAAGCATTTCTTGTGCTATATCTTTCTGCCAGGAGGTGCTGGTGTCTAGTGGGTGCTGGTGTCTAATGGATGCTGCCTGCCAAGGTCTGGGAGCTGTGGAAGAACCAGGCACAGCCCTGAAGGAGAAGGAATCCAAGGTGAGGGGATGCTAGAATGTTGGGGATGAAGCACCCTGGGCTGTGAGAGTGGAGGCAGCTGAGCCTATGGGACTGAGCTTGGGATGGGAGGAGGATGGGTCTGAACAAGGGTAGGGATGTCCAGGGCTCTGCCCAGCTCTGCTCACAGGCTGGGCAGGCTCACCTGCAGGGATGCCAGTGAGGATGAGACATAACAGGCCAGACAGAATCAGGAGAATGCCCTGCACTTTTTTCCTCCCAAACCACTCCAGCAGGAAAATACAGGAAAGCCGAGCTGGAAGCTCCACTGCCCCAAAGGCCAGCTGTGTCAGGTAGATGTCCAGACCAAAATCTGTCACGCTGAGGCTCAGCCCATAGTAGACAATGCTGTCTGCAAACCTGAAATTCAAGTAAAGCAGAATAGAACATGTCACCAGATGGTTTTATGGAGGTCTATAGCCAAAAATTAGAAAGGTTAGAACACATGCAACTTATTTAAACTCCCAACAGTCTCTGTTTTGGTTCTAGTCATCACCTTTGACTATTCTGTGGGATGTAGCTGCAGGAGATAAAGCAGGATAGGTCTTCATATGGCCAGCAAATTCTAGGCTGGAAACCTAAAGCTTCTAGATAGGCACAAAATTACTCCAAGGCCCAGGCATTGCCCAAAGCTGGAATTACTCAAGCCTTTCTAACAAAACCCACAGTATTATGGATAATCATCTTCTTCCCATGCCTAGATATGGTAAATCTGGTCTAGTATGTGGAGGTAGAATGGTAGCAGATAAAGACATATATATATATACATTACCACAAAACTCACTTTAATTTACCATTCTTGACGATCATCAACTTCTTTTCTTTCACCGAGTAGTTTTGACAGAGGGGACCAGGGAATGTCTTACCAGACACATGACATGACTAAAGTAATCTTCCTCTGGTTCTTCTCCCGAAAGAGATCCAGGAAACTTCCAGACTTGGCTTCTTTCTCAGGCTTCAACTTCAAAACACAGGAAGTCAGAGTCAGAGCAGGGAAAGGAAAACCATGGCCAGCTGCTTTTCCACCTGCACTCCATGGAAAGCCTCCGTGGGACAGGCCTGTGACCCTCAGTGCTCTGGGAGGGAGGGCAGCCCAGTGGGTGCTCTGGGTGCCCAGCACAGGGGCTGGTGACTGAGAGGTTCCTCAGGATGAACATTTATTTCCCCAGGGTAGGAACTTTGGGGTGGGCAAGGAGGGAACTCCCCTTCAGGCATTTCTGCATGGAAACCCACAGACTAAAGAGAGACTCTTGCTCATCAGTCACACTCCTGGAATCCTGACAGGAGAAAAGCCAGGGAAGCGTTTCAGTCCTTCCCACATCCCCAGGGGCATCCCAGCCAGCTGCAGGCTGACCTTGTCCCTGTGCAACTCAGCTGGAGCTGGAGCCCCAGAGCCATGGCCAGCCCATCCCCGGTGGGAATGGAGAGATGTTTCTGGGAGCAGCTGAGCTCCAGGGGCTGCTGCAAGGCCCAGGGCAGTGTGTGAGGAGCAGAACCCCCAGTACCTGCTCCAGGAGCTCTGGTGGGAGGCTGCGCTTGTTGGTGGCTGCCGCCTTCTGCAGGAGCTTCTTGGCTTCCTCGATTCTGCCTTTGGTCACCAGCCAGCGAGCTGACTCTGGGAGCACCCTGCCAGGACGGGAGGCCAGGACATGCTGCTGTGTCCTGCTGAGTTCCCCCACAGCCCCTTCCTCTGGGACCACGTCCACCAAGCCTGGGCCACCACAGAACCAGATCACAGAACCACAGAATGTTCTGCTTTGGAAGGGACCCCCTGGGATCATCAAGTCCAACTCTAAAGTGAATGGCCCATGGGATCAATGGGTCTAAATACCCTCAATTTAGGCTCCAACGGCCACATCTGGAGACCTGAAGGAAAGCAGCTGCTGCTCTCAGCAGTCCAGTGCCCCAGGGAGATGTGCTGAGCTGTGCAGCTCCTCCAGCACCTGCACTCCAATGGGACAGACCCAGCTTGGTTCTGAGCTGCTGCCACCTCCTCACTCACACCCCTCATATCCGTGTTGTGTCTTCCAGAGGCTCTGCCCTGCTCCTGCTTACCAGATGAAGAAGAAAAGGGAGAACATAGGAGCAGATCCTACAATCTCCAGCAGCCTCCAGTTGCGAATCCCATAACTCAAGCCAGCCACCGTCATCTGCCCGATGGCGAAAGCCGTGTGAGCAATCAGCACTGCCTTTGGCCGGTAGGACACACCCACCCATTCCGTTCCTGAGAGGAAAAACAAAGCTTCAGGCTTTGTTTTGGGCCTCCTGCCACTATCATATCTTGGGAGGCCATGTCTGCTGCCTCAGGACAAGGGTCTTCCACTCACCCAGGGATACTACTGTAATCATAATTCCTGACACCGCAGTTGCCACGACAAACCTGAAGGCTATGAACACATAGAAATGGGGCACAAAGGCAATTCCCAGGCCAAACACACTCTGGATGAACATGCAGATGAGAAGGACTGGCCGTCTGCCTATCCTGTGGAAGAGAAGACCCAGTCAGTACCTGGAGAGACCCCATGGGGAGAGAGAAGAGCCCAGGAGGGATGCAAAGGGATTTGAGAACCAGAGGAGATTTGATATCCATGTGAACATAGCTCCTCTATACACCCCAAGAAATAATGTGCAGAAAAATCAATCTCTCCAGTGTTGGCCCATCATGGTTCTGGAAAAGCCTGAGATACCAGCAAGGGCTAAACTTGTGATTCCTGAAGAACCCTCCCACAAGGCTGTATCTGTCTCTCTTTTCCAGACCTCCCAGGAGGCCTCAGATACCTATCTCAGGCAAGAGGATTGAGTCTTGTGAAGGGAGCAGCTCCTGTGCAGTGCATGGACAGTCTGCACCCTCATCTGGGCTGTCCCTGGGTGCTGGGCAGAGTCTCTGGGAAGGAACTGTGTTTCCTTACCTGTCACTTAGCATCCCAAAGAACATGGCTCCTACGAGAAGCCCAGCCATGTAGATGGACTGGGAGACATCATTCAGGACTGCTCTGTCACACACCAGGTCAAACTGGAGGGAGGAAAACACAGATGTTGTTGCTTTTGACAGACACCAGCTGCTTTCTGTGGATGGGCAGCCTTTCTGGTTCATGGTGGATCTGGGGTCTGGGTGCCTGAGCTCTTGCTCCAGCCCCTGGGAGCAGAGAGCCCCTCACATGGATTTGAGCCCTTCATGGTGAGCACTTAGGACACAAATCAATGGTGGGATGGACACATGAGGTGCTCAGCACGCCTCTGCATCCTGGTGCACGTCTGCTGGGTGCTGGGATCTGTAGGATTCCCCTCCAGCCCAAACATCCCTGAGGGAGGGTCCTGGTTGGCAAATTCGTTTAAAGTGTGACTTGGGGTGAGAGCTGTATCAGCTTTCTTCTCTGGCTGAAAAGGCAGAACAGGGTGGAAAGAGGAGGAGAGCAGGTTTTTTTTCTGGTAAAGGAGGACCAGCATAGGAATGGGAAGGGATGCAGCTGCTGAAACCTCCAGAGAAGCCTTGTCTGAAATGGACTTAGTGCTTCAGGGACACTAAGGAGCCTTTGCAAATGCCAGAGGCTGGAGTTTCTCCTCTGTTCCAGCTCAGAGGAAGGTATTTGTGAGAAAGTGCTGGAGCTGGCTGGCAGGTAGGAAAGGAGGGAAGAGGAACAAAGGTCCACAGAGGGAGAATCACAGAATCATGGAATAATTTAAGTCGGAAAAGACCTCCAAGAACATCAAGTACAAATTTTGACAGACCACTACCATGTAAACTAGAAGGTGAGATATGAGGCAGAATGGAGAAGTGGAGGATGCTGATAAACAAGGCTTTTGCTCAACTGCATGGTCCCTGGCATGTCTTATTGCAGCCCTGAAGGTTTCTGGAGGCCCAAGAAATATCAATGACAGCCACTTGGAAGGTAAATGTCTTTCACAGAGAAGATGATGTGAGTAGAACCAGGCTGAAGAACAGGGGATACTGGGGCAGGGATGCCCAAAAGGTCCCTCTAGGCAGATACATCATGAAGTGAAGGGTCTGGATACTGGAAAGGGGACAGATGGTGAGCAGGACATGTGCTGGACTCACTCATCCCCATGGTCACTGCCTGTGCCCTCCCCAGGGTCCTTCATCATGGCCTTGCTGTGACAACCTCCCAGAGATTCCAGCTGCCATCTGTGTGATGCAGGCAAAACCCTGCAGTAAATCCATGCAGTAAATCCCAACCTGACTGCACCACAGCTGGCACTGGCTGACCAAACCACAGGCCAGGCTATTCCCATCCCATCCTTTCCACATCCCAGCACATCAAACAGCAAATACAGACCTCGGTCAGCAGGGATGGTGGCTGTCCTGAGGGGTACACCCAGCCATTGCTGCACTTCTGTGTGTCATTCAGCCCATAGGCCAGGATGGAGTCGAGGTCCCAGTCCACCGGGGAGTACATGGAGCACTGCTCGAACTGCCCGTCCGTGCCCCGGGGCAGGGTGAGGTTCAGCTGCTCTTCCTCAGTCAGGTTGGGGCCGACAGCACGGATCCAGCTGGTGTCACAGTGGTAAGGCACTTCCACAACCATGAACACTTGGCCAACCATTTGGAAAGGATTGAAAAGTAGTGGGAGGGAGAGGAGCAGGACCAGCAGTTTCTGATAGCGCCCACACTCCCCCAGGGCACGTAAAAAATCTCCGAACTCAGCCATGGTGAACACCTCTGTGGCCAGGCTAAACTGGTGCCTATGGCTTAAATAGGCAAATATTAATGTTTAAACTGTGTGAGCACTAAAGCCCCAATCCAGTGTGATAAGATGAGCACCTGTATTAGCACAACAGTCCATTATGATGATACAGTGCAGTCCTCCAGGCTGCACTTTGTCACCAGCCATTCCCTCCCTGCTCTTGAGTGCAGAACAAAGGTGCCAGAGCACTGCCACTCTTGGACACAGTAGAGTAACATCTTGTTTTTTCCCAGCCTGAGATGTGTCTCAAGGCCGCCTGAAGGCAGCTGTGCTGCAGCACAAGGATTTTGTCTGAGGCATGAAGTTGGGATTCTACAAATGAAGGTTAATTTTACTGGGTGAGGGGAAGCAAACAGAGTAAATTTGCTGCTCCCATTGATGGTTTAATGACCATATAATCCCGGAGGCTATATGTAAGAGAAGCAGAAGAACACTTCTCCTCTGGGCCAGGAAATATGGTTGGTAGTCCAGTAGACTTACTCTTGACAGCTGTGTCCCAAGCTCTCTGTTTTCATTTGTAGAAACCCTGGTTAGTCATAAAACTGGATCTAAACTACAGTTTCTTGGGGATAATCCTAATATAGGCCTGGCTTAGAGAGTACCCTCAGGGAAAACAGCATGTTATACACACAGACATTCAGAGCACACAGGATTTGGGAAATGACACCAGCTTGGCTTTGCCAGAGGTTCTGATGTCACTTGGAAAGCAGATTATCCTGATTTCTACTACACATCTGAGCTGCTTCCTGGGCAGACTCCCTGAGTGGTTTGTGTCTTTATTCCTGGTAAACTGGGTAGCTGGATTGCCCTCAGTGTGAAATTTTGTGTGTAATTTGGCAAAGGTTGGTTTCACCAGAGCTATGAACACATCACTAACCTGCTCATTTCAAATCTCCTCTCAAATTCTTTGTCTTTCACTCTCAATGTCCACAGTATATCTGAGCCTCCAACAAAGCCACTCCTGTCAACAACAAAGTCTCCAAAAAAGTCACACAAACCAGGACTGGTGTTTCATGAGTTTCAATAGGCCTGTTGTGCTTATGAAAACCAGTAAAGGAGAAGAATATTGGATTTTAAAGCATCATCCCCTAAGCTGGAGTGGGAGAGTGAGATCATACTGGTTAGTGCTGTTCAGAGTAAAGGAAGAGAGGAGTAAATGTTACTTAGCGTTGTGTAAATTCACAGCAGTGCTGTGCATTTGTCATCTGCACACATCACACAGCCAAACATCACTCAGCTCTGCATCCACATCCTTGGATGAAAGGACTTGCTGTTATTCAGAGCCATTCTCCCAGCAGGAGGCTGAGTTACACAATTTCCAGAGGTTCCTTGAACCCTAAATTAATCTCTGTCCTTTTGGTAGGATGACTTGGCAGAGGAGATCTGCTCTGGCAGAAATATTTTGTCCCTGTCTTGCCTTCTCTATCAGTGTGCAACGAGCTCAAGTTCTTCAAGCTCACATTGTTGTGTGTGGCTCATGCTCTTCCCTCCCATTCCTCAGCCCCCAGCATTTTCTGTGGCAGAGTTCCAGTTTATGACTATAAAACCTCCTTGGGGGTGACCCAGACCTGAGTGAGTTTCATGTGCTGATGCAGATGTGACTCCTTCCTTAAAGCTGTTCTTCCAGCCATGACCAGACAGGCTCTTCTGAAGCCCTGGGAAAGTCCTTTGTCACCCTCAGATGACATTTCTTAGTGGAAAGATGTCTTCATACCTGTCTCCATCATCTAGGGCTGAGTGGGTGGAGATGTCTCAGGGAGAAAAGCTGGGGCAGCTCTGCAAGCTGCTCTTTCCTGGAGCCCCACTTGTAGGGATTCTGGGCTTATTGCTCTCTGCCCATCAGCTCTGCACAGGTGGATTACTAAGGCTTGCAAAGCCTCTTGAAAATGGAGAAGCCTCTGTCAGAGGGCATCAGAAACCAGCAGGTCTCAGGGAAGATGGACAGCAGGAAACCCATGTCAAGGACAAGGGAGGGGGAGCATCCTGGGGAGAAGTTCAGAAAGAGAAACCACAGTCTGGGAATGAGGTTTAGTGCAGGAAATAGAGCTTTGATGCATTAATTCATGGACTGGGCTTTTCTCTGTGTATCAGGAGTGGCAGTGGCTGGACACCCCTTTGGACACCTCTGTCTGTGCTGGGGTGAACTGTGAGGAAATGGATTCATACCCACTAACTTTGGTGCTCCTGCCTTTTCCCCTCCTCTCAGAGCTGGCAGGGACAGATCAGATTTATGGGTGTAATTTGATAGTGACAACTCACCTGGGACTTCACTCTGAGCACCTTTTGCACAGGTGACAGGGGCCACCAGCTTCCCACTGCTCCAGTGAGAGATGCTTGATCTCTGCAAGTCTCCTCTACACCTCCAAGCACAGCCTGGCCACGTTTCAGGCACAGCTCTGAGACAGCAGCTCCTTTACCCTGAGCCCCTTGATCACCCCAAGGTGAGACTGACTTCAGTGTTTGACAAGTCACATAGATTTCAAGGATATCCCTTTTCCCCCAATTTATGCTGATTGAGCAGTTTCCCTGCACAGAGCACTGATTCTGCTTTGCAGCAGATGCAGTCATTAAGCAGCTTTATTCCTCCAGCAGCTTGGACAGAGCAGGGTTATTTTGACACTGGTGAGGCAGGGAGACTGTTGAGATATTTTATTTTATTTTATTTTATTTTATTTTATTTTATTTTATTTTATTTTATTTTATTTTATTTTATTTTATTTTATTTTATTTCGTTTTATTTAGTTTCATTTCATTTCATTTTGTTTCATTTCATTTTCTATTTATTTATTTCATTTCATTTTGTTCATTTTGTTCTCTATTAAAAATTAATCATTTTAACACCTTTATCTCTTTTTTTACAGACAGCTGATCAAAACGTGAATTGCTATGCTCTATGACCCTTCTCGTAGTGTATGTGCTTAGTACGTGCTTAGCACATGCATAGTTCATATTTTGACCCTCTGGAGTTTCTCTTAAGCTTGTTTATCATTAGTGTAATTGTTAACTTCTATAGCATTTATGTTATATAATATTTATGCAAAGGGCAGTCAGGGAGGAGCAGAGTGCAATGGCACAAAGAAAACAGATTTATCTATGTCCCCACACCCCAAGACTTCAGGACACCAGGGTTCATCTCCCTCCTCTGCCCTTCTGACCATGGCAAGGTGATTCCACTTTTCTTTGCTTATCATTGTGCAGCTGATTTCAAGAATCACTTTTGGTCCCATATCAGCTAACTTGTGCTGCAGGAAGGGTTGTGTGTTTTTGTTTTTAACCTTTTTTTTTCCCAACCTATACAAAGAACTCCTTCTCTGAAAGGTCAAAATTTAACATCTCCAAGTCTTCAGAAGACAGACTGTCATAATCTTCTTCAGCTCCTGATGTTTTTCTGCTCCTGTTCATTTTTTCAGAAGCCTCCTGGCCCGTTTTGGTTGAATCAAAATCAAAATTATCAAAGACACCCTGATTAGAGGTTTCAGAAGCACAGCTGCTAAGCATGTATGTTAAGGGGGAATTGTCATCCTGTGTAGGGAGATGCTTTTTTGTGGAGCCTTCAGCACTGAGACCCATTCCAAACGTTTCTTCTGCTGCCTTTGGAGCCTGCTGTTGTGGATCCACCTGCAGCAGGAGTTCACAGCTCTGAATCTCTTCCAGGTCTCTGATATTAATCTCATCCTGCCCATCAAGAAGCGAGAGGCTGGAGGTGTCCCAGAGCTCAAGTGAGGTGTTTGTTTCTGATGAGATTTCCTGGAATAAGTCTGAAGGATTTGGATCAAAGAAAGGTGGAGTTTCTGCCTCTGAGTTTTGCAAATCTGAATTTGGAGTTTCATTTGCCATACTGGGGAAATCTTGTCCTCTAGAAAAGAACAAGTTACTGCCCCCCAGAAAGTCCATGTTGTTGAACTGAGGCTCAGCATTCTTGAGTAACTTTTCTGAATTGCCTGGTGAAAAAAATATCCCATCCTGTGTCACTGTGTTCTGGACATCCAAACTCAACAGGTTCTGGGCTCCTGGCAGATGAGCATCATGGTGATTCCCTTCCCTGGTGAGATTTTTGCTGTTACCAGCTGCAGGCACAAGCTCTGGAGGAAGCTGTAGAGGGTTCGTTCCATGATTTGAAATTCCTGCAGCTTCCTTCTGATTTTTCTGTGCTGGCATGAGAGGGGGCCAACAGCTGTCCTGCTGCTGCCAAACCTGATTATTTAAAGACACTTGGTCATGAATGTCAAGTTCACTTCTCTCATGTTTATCACCATGTAACATGGCTGTGCTGGGAGCTGACAACGGGACATCAGACTCCTTGCTCTCAGTAGAGCCTGAGAATCCTCCAGAGCTCTCCTGGATATGTTTAGGGAGCACCTCCGTCTTTCCAGGCTGTGGCAGCTGATCATTCTTGGAGGCATTTTGCTTTGCTTGGCTGGAGGAGCTGAGGGGGCCCTGAGCCTTTTCTGTCCTGCCATCAACATTTGCTTTTTCTGAGGATGCTGCAGGTTTTTCTCGTGGACTCTGCTTCTTCTCTGAGGAGTGACCAAAAAAAGTGGCAAGAGCTGATTGGGGTTTCGTGGGTTTCCTCTGCGTTGTTGTTTCTTTCCTGGGAGTTCTGCCTTTGTCTTCAGAGCCAAAAAGGGTAATGAAGGGGTTTTTCCCAAGCCTGAAACCTTTACCTGGTGTCTCTCTACAGGCTTGGCTGCTTCTGGCCTCCTTGCTCTGGGCATCAGTCTGTGACACAGGCACAGTGCTTTTCCCTGCAAGTTTCAGATCCACTTTTTCTTCACCTACTGGATGACCTCTGAATTTTTCCAAGGATGTATTTGGTTTGGAATATTCTGATGTCTTGGCTGGTTGCTCAGAAATGTGCAAGGTGTTTTCACTAAGAACTTCCCTGGAATCCTTTGGTTTGGGGTTGTTGACTTGATCATGTGAGGGACAAGTGGCACAAGTTTCTTTCAGAGGTGTGTCTGCTGGTACTAGAAAATCCTTGCCGGATGGTTTAGTATCACGTCTCCAAATACCCTCATGAGTGTTACTTTCCATGTGGCCACATGTGTCCTGAGGTTCTGTTTCTTGTGAAGAGGACACATGGTGATCATCTGTCCTGCCTGGACAAACAGGTGAAGAGACTCTGCTCTTTTCAGTTTCATTTTCCTGAGGTGTACTCTCAGGACTGGGCTCTTCCGGAGATGCTGACATAATTACTGGTTTCTCTTCTTTTGTCTTCTCAAATTCTGCCCCTTTGCTCTCAATTCCAGGCAAATCACTTATGCTGGATGGCTGCATAGCTTCCCCCAGAGTTAATGGCATCTGTTTCCCAGGGAATTCTCTCGTGTTTGCCTTTGATTTATCATTTAACATTTCAGTGATCTCAGGCGACACACCCAGCCCTCCGGGCTCCGGAGAAACAGAAGATACAGAGGAGGTCCTCAACACACCAGAGGGAGAATGGGCTTGTTCAGCTTCATTTTCAGGGGGATCAACATCCTCAGCTCTATATTTTATCTCTCTATTTGTGATGTTTCTGGTTTTGGGCTCTCCTGGCACACGAATGGTCTGTGTTCTGTTCATTCCCTCTCCAAGGTGATGCTTGGCCCCAGCAGTACCCGGGGTGTCCATGATCGGTTCAGGTTTGCCATGTGTGATTGTGCCTCCTTGGCTGGGTGTGCTCAGTGGCCCGCAGACCTTGTTTTGTGTCACTGGGGTCTCTGTGGCAGTGGGAGTGCAGCCCCCTGTGCCCCCCAGGTACATCCTCGGGGTGGGTTTAGTGCTTTGGTGTGTGGGGTGGGGAGCAAGTGAGGCTCGGGGCAGGGCTTTCACAGGCTCCAGGACGGGAGGGAGGGAGGCACAGGGTCCTCTCCTCAGCTGGGCTTGGCTCTGCTGGATGGCAGCCACTCGCTGGGACACCTTCCCACCCTGCTTCCCTTCAGGCACATCCCCATCCCCAGCCTCCTCACGGCCTCTCTGCTCTCTGTTCTTGGGCCAGGAACGCACCTGCTCTCTTTCCTTGCCGATTCCAGGTAGGAATCTTCCTTTCTCCACTGCCCCCATCCTGCCTGTCCTGCTGCCTGCAGCCTGGTGGGTTGGCAGGCTCAGTGCAGGCTTTTTCCAGGAACATACTCCATTTCCAGCTTTCCCATCTGCAGCCAAGGCTGGTGCTGAAGGTGGCCAAACTGTTCTGAGTTTATTCCCTATGAGGACAGCCCTGCTGCTCCTGTGCTCAGCCAGCTGCACATCACACCGTGCATTGAAGGATGCGGGTTTCTCTCTTGTTTCAGTGTTTTTGGCCCTGTTACACCAGTCCTGGGGCTGTGGTCCATGCTGAACGTGGTGGTGCTTCAGCCTTTCCATCTCACTGCTGCTTCCAGCCCCAGCCATCAGCTTGTAGTGGACTTGGCAGTAAAACACCCCGTGGAGGGCAGCATAGTTTTGCACGCTGGAAAACACACATTGGCACAGCTGTCAGTGGCTGTGTGGGAGGGGAGCTGCAGCACTGACAGACAGGCTTTCAGCAAAATCATTTTTCAGTGGGGAAGGGAGTGATGGAGGGGGCTGAAGAATGAAACCTTTCAAAGCAGTGTTGGCTTTCTCAGAATATGTTTGATTTTTCTTTCAAGCACCAAAACAACATGAAAAATTAAACATTTCCTAGCAATACCTCTGGGGGCTGTAGCCCAGGTTATGTGCAATTCCTTTCTCATTTACAGGCCAGGCTACATGCCAGCACTTCATCTCTGCCCCCATATGCACAGCGTGGACCTTATGGGTAAAAGTGCCCAGGGCTCCCATGATACAACAACTGCAGGATGGGAGGAAGTGTCTGCAGGGCTGGGGGCAACAGGATTTCAAGCAGCCTCACAGGGGGTGGCTGTCTCAGTGACTGACAAGCTAAAACAAATCAGCATTGTGCCCTGGGGACAGGGAAACCAGCTACATCATGAGCTGCATGGCAAAGAGAACTGAAATGTCCCTCTATATTTGACTTTTGTAGGATTCCTTGTGGAATGCTTTGTCCAGTTTTGTGCTCTTCACAGCAAAAAAGACATTGCCCTACAGGAAGGAATCCAGCAAAAAGCCACTAAAGTGATGAGGGACCTGTGTCATCTGAGAGCTGGGTTAGCCAAGATCTAGCAGGAGAAGGTCAGGAGGGAGAAACTCATGGCTGTGTGTGTCTATTTTATGGGAGGTTATAGAGGAGATAGGGTTGGGGTGCTCTTGGAGGGGAGCAGTGACAGGATGAGAGGCAATGGGAACAAGTTGTAACACAGGGAACTGTGATAAGATGCAAGAAAAAACATTTTCACTGGTGGTCAGATGTTCAAAGAGGGCCCCAGCTGAGATTGTAACCTCTAGCCTTGAAGCCATTCACACCTCTCCTGGACATGTTCCTGAGCTCCTGTCTTTGGGCCTGAGAAGGCTGGGTGGAGGCTTCCAGAGGGCCTTCCAACCTACCTGGCTTGATGTGATGTTGAGAACCTGATTTGGTGGTGGACAGTGTTGGGTAAATGGTTGGACTCAATGATCTTAGAGGACTTTTCCAACCTAAATGATTCTGTGAACACAGGAGGCACCCAAATGAATCCTCCATCTACATGTCCTACCAGTATTCCCAAACTGTAAATATTTATTGTAGTTTCATCTCATCCTTGCAGATTCCTGATCCAGAGGTGTCTGCAGGCTTGAGGTGGGCAGGCTTCAGCCTCCAGTGATGGAGAGGCAGATGGAATCAGGGAAACTGCCTGCCCTTTTCCTCATTTCCTGAGTCCTGCCCTGTCAGAATTACCCTTGGACAAATTTGATGGAAACTCTTTGGGCACCCCTTAAAGCACCTGAGTCCCACCACTCACCTGAGCTTCCTCCCACAGACGTGGCAGCAGAAGCAGGAGTGGTGCACACAGACCTTGTCAGTGACCACACGCTCCACAGGGCAGACAGGCTTCAGGCAGGAGGCACACATTTCTTTCAACATGGGCTGAAGAAGGAGAGACTGAGGTTAAATAACTGAATTGTGACGACCTGGAATTATCTGCAGGGTAATTTACTGAATCTCCTGCTTGTGTTGCGTTTCCTTGATGTTCTTTTGCAGATCTATTGTGAGAGTTCAGATTCCTGTTTGGCTCAATTTGCCTGCCATCTTGGATGGGTCAGGGTTAATTTTCAATCAGAACAGAAAGATAGAGCACCCTTGGATCTCTGATTAGAAAAAATATGTTCATTTGATTGAGGATAAACGATTCATTCAGTTGAATAATTTAAAAACCTTGAGTGAGGTGAGAAATGTTGGTCTGCCTCAAAAACTGTGCAGCTCCTGGAATCACTGGTATCTTATGGCTGCTCACATAGACATAGTCCAAACTATGGACTATGGAAAAGGCAGCTCATATCAGTGTAAATCTTCCACAGCTCAGTGGATTTGGTGGTTTACTCCACTGTGTTTACTCTCTGGATTGTGTTGTTCTGGATTGTGCCCCAACCTGATTACCCCAACACCTCTTTATGTGAAAAGCCCAGACAATCTCTCTGGAACACGTTGCCAGCACCAGCCACATTAGTGGAGAGAGAGAGAGAGGGGAAAAAAGATCTTGGCTATCAACCCAGCTGTAGAAATAGCTCCAGGTATTATGCACAGTCAAGTGAGCCAGACGATGCAGGTGGCAGTGAGGATGTCACTGTGCACTCCTCACTGTGGTGCAAAGCAGAGGCTCAGCTTAGCTGGTGAGTTTATCTGAAATGAGTTTATCTGAAAATGCAGGGCTTTCCAAAGCCCCAGAAGGAACACAGCTGGGCCCAGCCTAACTCTGACAGGGCAATGCTCTCAGTACTGACACTCCCTCACATCAGGGCAGCTCTGCCTCTTCGTAGGGAGCTTATTTGTCACAGTTTTGCTGGGGCTCTCTGATCCCTCTGTTTTTTTTCCATATGTTCCTACCCTGGTTTGCAGCATTTTCAGCTCTAAGAAAAGTTTACTTTTTGCTCTATTGTGCAGTGGCTGATGGCCAAATTTTAGCTGTGACCAGAGTAAACAAGTTGGCATCCAGAGAAGCTGTGGATGCCCCTTCCCTGGAAATGTTCAAGGCCAGATTGGATAGGTCCTGAGCAACCTGACCCAGTGGAAAGTGTCCCTGCCCGTGGCAGGGCTTTGAAATTAGGTGATCTTTAAGGTCCCTTCCAACCCGAAACATTTCTGGCTCTGTGTTTCTATGAAACAGGAAAGATATTTCCATATCTCAAGAGATGAGTTGACACGATCAAGAACAAGACAGGGAACAAAACCTTGTCTTTTACTTGCAACAGGCACCTGGGGAACCAGTTTTCAACTTTTTAACTTTTTAACTTTTCCATTTGTCTGAACATACTATTAAGGCCAAATCATCTTTGCTTTCCTGTGACAACACTTTCAAGAAGATGAGTTTAACATCTTGAGGTTTCTTTCTTCCTTCTAGAGGGAAGCATGCAAAAAAAAATCCCTCTTTCCTTCAGTCTGAAATGATCCCAGCAGCCCTCTGCTCTTCCAGTCCTTTGCAGAGAGCAGACCACAGGTCTGTAAGTGGATACAGAAGCAATGGGTGTCTAAACTCCCAGTATCTCAGTGGAGGCCCAGTTAAGGGAGTCTAAAGATTCTAAAGCATCTAAAACATCTACCCTGAAACAGGCCCAGGTAGTCACACAAAATCAATCTGCTTGCAAGGTGAATTTCACCAATGTGACTGCAGAACTTCCTCTGATGGTGATGAGCTCTCACCCAGAGCAAGGGTCTGTGTCCTGGCAGAGAAGAGAGTAACTCAACATGCCTGTGTTGTATAAGAAAAAAATGCTTTCCTTTAATCATGAACAAAGAAGGAAGCAGAGCTGTTTAGCAAACAAGCAGGATCTCTCTCCCCTGAACTGGGAATGAATGTCTGAACTCCTGCAGTGTGTTTCCAAATTGAGGTAACCTTTTATAGGGGATACTGGTCTCTTTCACTGAGGGGGGGGTGGTGTGTGTGATTTATTTTCAATACTCCTTGTCTGATTCATGGCAAACAATCCTGCTCTTCAGAGCTGTATTTATCAGGAATAAGCCTTCCTAATGGTCTGGAGATAGAGAGGTGATTAGAAGCAATTGAATGGCACTGTGGGCAAGGAAATTATCCTAAGGCTTCTGTGAAAAGCAGTTACAGGGTGTTCCTGGAAGGCTTTTCCAGCACGCTGCTGATTACTGCAGCGCTGAAAGTTGCAGCTGGATTATGGCTTATCAGTTGTTGCCTTTTTTCCCTTGTGTGAATTAAAACCTTTATATAGCAGTAGAGGTCAGCCTGAAAATGCCTGTGTTATGGATAAGCAGGGAAGCTGGGGAAGGGTCTGGAGCACAGGGTTTGTGAGGAGCAGCTGGGGGAGCTGGGGAGGCTCAGCCTGGAGAAAGGGAGACTCAAGAGGCATCTTCTCACTCTCTACTGCTCCCTGACAGGAGGGTGCAGCCTGCTGAGGGTTGTCTCTTCTCCCAAGTAGAAAGTGATAGGACCAAAGGAAATGGCCTCAAATTGTGCCAGGGAAGGGCTAGATTGGGTGTTAGAAAATATTTCCTGACAGAAAGGCTTGTCAGGCATTGGAACAGGCTGTCCAGGGCAGTGGTGGTGGAGTCACCATGCCTGGAGGGATTTAAAAGGTGTGTAGATGTGGCCCTTGGGGACAGGGTTTAGTGGTGTGTTGGCAGTGCTGGGTTAATGATTAGACTTGATGGTCTTAGAGAGCTTTCCCAACCTTAATGATTCTGTGATTCCATGGTGAGCAGGAATCTTTCAGGCAGAAGACTGAGGGTCCTCAGGGAGGTGAGTGGCTGACAGAGCTGGGAAGGGCAGTGCTTTTTGTGGGCACTTTGAATGAGGCCTCTTTCCTGTCCTCTGCTGCAAAAGAGCCAAACCTGTAGCTGAACTTGTCCTTTGACCCCCTCAAGGAGGTGCAGTTCTGACAATATCAATTGTCCTCTGTCTCCTGGTCCAGATAACTCTCCTATCCTGCTTACTTCTGAAAATATCTACCGTGTGAGAATGCAGACCCACCAGGGCAAAGAACAGTGAACAATGTCGTATCTTGTACCCCAAAATCACAGAAAATCTGTGACAACTCATTTGGGATCTGAAAGTTTGTATGTGCTCTGCTGGTTTATTATTGCAAAGTCTGAGGTGCAGGGGATGTGAACTGATCCTTCAGCTTGTGTTTGAGTTTCAAATCTTTGCATTTGTTTTTTCTCTCCAGCTCTTTCAGTGTCTCAAGGAGCCATGTATGGATGAAATAATGCAGCATCTGTTTCCTCATCATATTTCTGTTCCTAGATGATGGAAATACCATGAAAGAAACACGTCTTAAATGATCTTAGCCTCATAAATGGCTCTTTGAGACATTTAGAAATCCTGTAAACCAGAAACACAAACAATAAGATTGGTATTTTTAAACAGTGGCAGTGCAGGATATTTGGGTTTATTTGAGTTTATGTGGAGTAATTTTCATTGCCCAAACAACCTGTTTGCAGCTTACTAAAATTGCTCCACAGCTGTCCTTCAAGATAAATGAAACGAATGTGTGATGGAAGCTGAGATGGAAACAAACAGGGAGAAGAAAGGAGTGCTGAAAAAATTTTGAAAATGATCTCCAGATAACTAACTCCATTATTTTTGCAACTGGTCCTACAAAAGGAATTGGAAAGATCTAAGTAGTTCTTTTTTTCTGATTGCCTTAAAATAGATTTGCTCATTTTATTATGATCTTCTCTTCCATCTTAGCCTTCAGTGTGGAATTGAAGATTATGTCCCTATTCTTCTTTTGGCACATCTTTCAAATTCACAGGGTTCTAGATGTAAATCAATGCATTCTGGTTATGCATCTCTTTTCTAGAGAGGAAGCAGAACTCCAACGTGGTCTAGAGCACCTCAAACAAGGTGTTTATAATGCAGGATGACAACTACTATTTAAAACCCAACTATGTGCTTAGGGATATGGAGTGGTAGATTCTGAACTGTCCCTTCCTCTCCAGTGTCCTGCTCCTAATTCATTAGTGTGGGCTCTTTTCCCTCGGACGAAAAAAGGCAAATATTAACTGTAACAACTTACTTAATGTTTTTAAAATGAAGTTACTGTCCCATTGTCAGATAAACTGATGGACTGGGTGATGAGGTGTCTGCCTGTGGATCAGTCAGAAGAGCTGCAGTCAGACCCAGAGGCTGGCAGCCTAAGTCTGAGCCAGGCTGTAGGACACAGCTCCACAGCCTCACCTCGAGTCCTGGGGGCAGTTCTGGCCACCAGAATACAAGAAGGGCAAGACAATACACAAAGAAGGACTTTAAACTATTAGAGAGTGTCCAAGGGAGGGCAACAAAGATGGTGAAGGGCCTTGAGGAGGAGCTGTGTGAGGAGCAGATGAGGACACTGGGTCTGTTCAGCCTGGAGGAGACTGAGGGGAGACTCTCTGTGGTCTTCAACTTCCTTGTGAAGAGGAGGGGCAGACTCTGGAGAGGGACACTGGACACTGTGTGACAGTGACAGGAACTGAGGGAATGGACTGCAATTGTGGCGGGGACGTTTATGTTGGATGTCAGAAAAAAGTTTTCCACAGAGGGAGTTTGGGCACTGGAAGAGGTGCCCAGGGAAGTGGTCACAGCACCAGCCTGAGCTCAAAAAGTGTTTGGACAATGCTCTCAGCCACATGCAGGGATTTTTGGGGATTTTTGGGGATTTCTTCTGTAGGGCAGGGAGCTGGACTCGATGATCCTTGAGCATCCCCTCCAACTCAGGACATGCTGTGACTCTGTGAGAAGCCATGCCGTCCCTCCATGGGCTCCTCACATTCCTCACACCTGGAGCCATCTCCTTGCCACCCAGCCAGCCCTGAGCTCAGAGGGAGGTGAGCTGAGGCACAGCTGTGAGTAAGGGATGGGTGAGTGAGGGCTGTTCCTCTTCCTAGGGCTTGTGGGGGCCCAGAACCTCAGCTGCCTTCTC